ACAAAGACTTGCTGTCTTGGTCACAGATGCACCAGCAGGACGTGCACCAAAAATGTGCCCTCTTTTGAACTCTGGTATGTCACCCATAATGTTGTGTGCATTGCAATATGTTGAGGAAAACTGTGCTCTTACCCTGCTAATTGAACCTTCACACTCTGCTCTTACTGGTGCAATGTGCAATTAATAAAGACTGACCACCAGGCTGGTCCAATTTAGCCATGAAACCCCCCACACTAAAATGACAGGTGTTTCAGTTTCATTACCACTGTAGTTCTGCAGCGTTTTAGATCAATTAAAGCTCATGACACAAACCTTTGTTCCAATTTCATCTTTTTATTTATTTCTGATGTTCAGCAAAAGTTCTACAGACTTGAAGAACTTTGGCTGCTTTTTAAGTAGTTTTTTAGCCCATTAATGGTAGGTGAAACACTGCAGCATGTAACAGAACAAGTATTATATTTTACTTTTTACATTTATTTAGTTGCATTAAAACATGTACATTTTACAAATGATTTGGAAGTAGTTGTTATACATTAAGTATAAAAATACAAATAATAAAAAATAATGTTCAAAAAATTGTTTTGGGGAGGGGGGTTATTGGCGAGCAAGAGGAAAGTCACCTGCGGGTCGGATGTGGCCTGCGGGCTGCCAGTTGAATAACCCTGGGTGGTTAGGTTTTGTCTATAGAAACAAGTGGAAGTCAATGAACAGTCCTAATAAGGATAGAAATACAAACCTGTGTGTGTGCGCCCTTGTTTTTGCTACTTGGTGAGGATGATTTGTCAGGAAAATGCAGCCTCATGGGGACTGAATGCTCCACGACTTCGGAGGCTGATTTTGGGTGGGGGTGTTGGGTTTAGGACCAACATGTGAACTGAATTGAGTTTAGGTTAGTTTTAGGGTCCAAATGGTCAGGGTTAGCATATAAAATTTCCACAAAATGAATGGAAGTCAATAGAATGTCCCCACAAGGATAGATAAATATAGTTGTGTGTGTTCTCTGTAATGCAGCAAAACATTTCATGAACCAGTGGACAGAACCTGCTCCCCACCTCTAACAGATCCCAGACTGTCACATGAGGTTGTCCACAAGGACGTTTACAGTTTTTAACAAAACAGAAACAGAATCGTTTATTGTCATTCACACACAACATCAAAGATGCAATGCTGAACGAAATGCAGTTTTGAACATCCGTCCGGGGAAACACAACAGACATGGGGGAACGAATGTCCAGGGTCATGCGCAACGTTGTGCGCTACTCTGCACTTTAGAACACACACACATAGGAAGGATGAGTTTAAAAAAGAGCTTTGATCCTGTGTTTTATACAGAAAAAACACACAAGCATGCGCACAAAAAACTACTCTGTGAAAGGAGCAGCTAAGGAGGGGGACCAAATATGGAAGGAGGGAAGGGATGCAGCGGAGCCGGTGACATCCAGGGCAGAGTACCGGGACCAGTCAGAGACCTTCAAAGTCTAACCATCAGTCACAGCACAGTTCACCAGAGTTCAGTTTCTCTGTTTCCACCCAGCGCGGCCTCTAGACTGGGTTCCAGCCACAGGTGGGGGTTGGGGGGAGGAGATCAAGGCTTCCTCCAAACATATCATCCAGGGAGGTTTATCAGCCTGCGACCAAGGTTACATCAGTGGAATCTGATGATAGGAATGCATTCTTTAGAGCAAGCAGCAAACTTTTCTTCCACTGCTTTAATGTCTTAACTGTGCCTCTGTGTTGCGAAAACGCCAATGTTCCAGATTCGTTACCATCTTGCCTCTCCCATATGAACTTCACCCAGATGTTGCCTTTACTCCTCACGCCGCTGGGCTGTGATCCTAGCCAGAACCACATCCAGTTTGCGATTCAACTCCCACATCATTTGAGTCTGTGCGGTCGCCGTACGAGAGATTCCATCCAGGGACACAGACAGCTTCACACAGGCCCCCGGACTGCATTCAATTCAATTCAAAAATACTCAATGTCGTTCTCATTTTCCGATAAACCAGAACTCCTCCACAGCCGATCAGCAGGAATCCGATTATCATAAATCCAAATATAAAAACATCTTTGACGTCCTCAATGGAAAGAAGTGCCAGGCAGATCAGATTCCACCCCCAGCTGCCCGAAACTCGCCCCGCAGCCACAGTTCCACTGGGACAACTGCGCTACCCACGCTCTAATCTCAGACTGGAAAAAATGGTATCAATTGCATTCAGAGACCAGTTGACCAGATCCATAGTTCTTTTGTTGTCGAATGATAAGTAGAAGAAAGGCTTGATCCAGCAGCAAAGCTGGGAAAAGAGGGAGGTTTGGGGGAGAGAGAAAAAGCGTCTGACTCCTCTAAAGGCCAAGCAGAAACAGCTACAACTTTGTCGTTTCTCAACACCTGATCTTGATTTAAAACTGTGGTCTGAAAGGAGGCAGCTGATTTGCATTCCTCCAATAACAGCTGGATTTTAATAAATTCTTTTCCTGATTGCAGGATTGTGATTTCTGCTAACGTTCATGGGAACTTGTAAAAATTCAGTCAAAATGACAACAGATAAGCTTTATTGTAGTAAATACATCACAACTCTGGGACAAGATGGTCCTCATGTGGCTCTGTTGTAGTTTAAAGGTGCTGGACATTTGGCCTCTGAGTACTGGGGTTAAAAACTCTTCTTCAGACTGATCCCAAACAAGATGACCCACAAGTTAAACACAGACATGTTTACTTTATTAACCCTTTTCTTACATCCAGTGGGAGAAATGTAAAGACAAACACACAAAAGTTGACCAAAAGTCATCACAGTAAAGTCCTGCACAAGTTGAAAGTTTGGATGTAGGTAAAACAGCTAAAAATACGTAGAAGTATTTTATACACACAGACGAAACTATAAACATGAAAACAATGAAAACAAACACAAGGAATTTGGTTTGGTGTTTTAAAACATGTCATTTAAATGAGTTTTCAGTTTAATCATAAGTAATGAAGCGACACAAAACTGTCCACATTAGTGAAAAATAATTCATATTCACTCATCTGCCACTTTATTACGTACACCTGTCCAACTGCTCATTAACGCAAATGTGGAATCAGCCAATCACATGGCAGCAACTCTACAGCAACGCATGTAGACATGGCCAAGACGATCTGCTGAAGTTCAAACTGAGCATCAGAATGAGGAAGGAAGGTGATTTAAGTGACTTTGAATGCAGCCTGATTGTTGGTGCCAGACGGGCTGGTCTGAGTTAGGCATGGGATGATATGAAATTATGACCGTATGGTAACCTTGGGCAAAAATATCACGGTTTTGCGGTATGATGGTATTATGTTTACAGCTCTAAAATTTTGTTGTGAAATTTGTATTTAAAAAAAAGAAAAATTACTTTTCTGTTATCATATTCAACTTTAATTATCTTTGGAAGCTGTTTTTTAGATCTCAGAGGTGTTATGCTGAAATTTTATTTACCTGTGTGCATCTGTACTTGTGATTTTTAGCACCTAATACAATTAAGTTATCCTGATAAAGTTTACATCTATAAGATAAATGCTTTTCTATTGCTTTATTAGTTGAGACAAAGTGTATACTGCATGACACGTCTTTATTGAGGTAATGTATCACATTGGGAGTTTTTATGTGTTTTAAATTTCAAGAGTTTTTGGCGTAAAGATTATATACGTAATTATATGCACTCAGAAACAAGAAATCACAACTATAAATCCGTGTTTTGCAGACGAGCTGTGATCGGTGCATTAAGCCACAGCAACACAGTGACATGTTTCACAATCTGATGCTAACGTTAGCTCATTCCTTTCATGATAGCAAAAACTTTACCTGGAGCAGCGATCATGCTAGATGCCTCCACGGTCCACATTGATATCGTCTGTACAACATCCTATGTATTTTCATATAGCTGCATTTACTGGATTTATTGTTTTAGACGGGAAAAGTTTGGGGAACTCTGTTCTTCAGCCACCACACAACCCCCCGCAGAGCTGCGAGTGCCGACAGTCTGCTGCGGGAGTGCGCGGGGGAAAGACTGCAGCTGAATAGACCTGAGGAAAAATAAACAAAAAACACTTATACTGTAGGCACGGTATGACAGAAAATTTTAGTGGTTTTCAAACCGTGACTTCTTCATATCACAGTATACCTTGAAACCGGTTTTCGGCCCATGCCTGGTCTGAGTGTTTCAGAAACTGCTGATTTACTGGGATTTTCACCCACAACCATCTCTAGAGTTTACAGAGAATAGTCTGAAAAAGAGAAAATATCCAGTAAGCAGCAGTTCTGTGGGCACAAATGCCTTGTTGATGCCAGAGGGCAGTGGAGAATGGTCAGACTGGTTCAAGCTGATAGAAAGGCAACAGTGACTCAAATAACCGATAGATACAACCAAGGTAGGCAGAAGAGCATCTCTGAACACACAACACGTCCAACCTTGAGGTGGATGGGCTACAGCAGCAGAAGACCACACCGGGTGCCACTCCTTTCAGCTAAGAACAGGAAACTGAGTCTACAATTCCCACAGGATCATCAAAACTGGACAAGAGAAGATTGGAAAAACDTTGCCTGGTCTGATGAGTCTCGATTTCTGCTGTGACATTCGGATAGTAGGGTCAGAATTTGGCATCAACAACATGAAAGCATGGATCCATCCTGCCTTGTATCAACGGTTCAGGCTGGTGGTGGTGGTGTCATGGTGTGGGGATATTTTCCTGGCACACTTTGTACACATTAGTACCAATTGAGCATTGTGTCAGCGCCACAGTCTACCTGAGTATTGTTGCTGACCATGTCCATCCCTTTATGACCACAATGTACCCAACATCTGATGGCTACTTTCAGCAGGATAATGCGCCATGTCATAAAGCTGGAATCATCTCAGACTGGTTTCTTGAACATGACAATGAGTTCACTGTACTCAGATGGCCTCCACAGTCACCAGATCTCAATCCAATAGAGCATCTTTGGGATGTGGTGGAACGGGAGATTCGCATCATGGATGTGCAGCCGACAAATCTGCGGCAACTGTGTGATGCCATCATGTCAATATGGACCAAAATCTCTGAGGAATGTTTCCAGTACCTGGTTCTGAAGGCAAAAAGAGGATCCAACTCGGTACCAGTAAGRTGTACTTCATAAAGTGGCCGGTGAATGTACAGTATATAAATTTACATATACACACACACAGTGTGAGTCAAAAGACTCAGGACACCCATTTATTTCAGAAACAAAAATAAAATATCTGAATCTCCCATCAAGTACTGGGTGAGGAGACCTATCTGTTAGACTTTGTCCAGATTATTGCTGCCATCTTGGAAGCCACCATACTGGGTAAAAGTTTTTTTCCCCAACAGGAAGCTGGTCCTTTAGTAAACCAGAGAAGACCAGAAAAGTCTCAGAAATTAATTTCCTTTCATGGTTCAAAAGTTCTCACCACAAAAATCTGCAAGAACTGGGAACTTTGTTTTTGTATGATGTGTTCAAGGTGCTGTCCCTGGTGCTGAACAGTGTGTCTCAGGTTCAGCACCAGGGACAGAGACACCGATCTGTCTGGATCAGCAGACATGCTGCACTGCTGTTGGATCTGGGCTCCATCAGAACATGTGTTGTTCACAGATCTGATTGAATAATCAGGATGGTTGGAGCTTGAAGGCAAAGAGGCTGAATATATGAACAAACATCACATTTCAGTTTATATTTAGATTTATTTCATAAAAGATGTTTCCTTCCTTTTATCTGCATTAATCTCAAGTATTCTGTGGTAGTTCATCACATAATCAACCTTAAATTCAACACCTCAGCAGAAAGAATAGAAAGATTTACTGTCAAACTGTAAAACAGCTGTGGTCTGTCTGCTGCAGCTCAAACACTGAATCAAAAGTCCACCTGTCCTTGGTCTCCCAGCATCAAATTATTCTGTGTCACACAACTGCATCACTTCACATGCACACTACAACACACAGGTCTCATTGTGTGATTTAACACACAGAAGATAAGAACGAACATTAACCCTCCACACAACCTCTGTGAGTTGAAGGGTTCACTGAATGCTTTGAGAAAATCTGTCTTATGATTTAGGAATATTTGGAATTAATGTTTTTTATCATTCTTTGTTTGGACATTTTTAACCCTCTGTTGGACCCACAATGAGGTGGACTCAAGGAATAAAGACAAACAATCAGTAAAAATCAAACGGGCAACAGAGTAAGAGACATGAAGAGGACATTGAAACAATTCAGGACTAATAAGAGTGAGGAAAGAGACAGAATAAAGCAAGAAATAAAGAGAATAATTCAGGCAGCTGGACTGATTGGACATGATAACAGGTGAATTATTGACTTAGAGAAAACACAGAAGAGCTGACAGGGAGGAAATGACACAGGGAGCACAAACAGTTCACAGGAAACAGAGATGCTAACACCCTCCTGCTGTCCGCTGGTTAAAATAAGCCACAAGGACTCCGTTTTAGTGAGTCTTTTTGACCCAAGGGCAGCAGGAGGGTTAAACAGAACATTAAACATTGGGGCTGAAATCCTTTTTATATCTCAAAACTATGACTTAGTTTAAAATTATACGGTCATAAGAGTCATAATTTTAAGACAACATATTAATGAGATTAATTCAAGATTTTGAGATTTCATAATTATAAGAGAGCATAAGTCAGCATTTTAGGTAGGAACCTATTTCCTTCCAGGTGCTGGAAATAGTGTCTTAAATGACTGAATTTAACCAAAATGATCTGAAATATTAGGTTGTTGTTGTTTTTTTTGTCAAATGTAATAAGCAAACACCTTTCACTTATACAGGTAATATCCAAACAGCAAGCATAAAAGTAATAATCTGTTAAACTCCATGAGTGGAATGTTGTTTTTCATGGTTTGATGTTAATTATTAGTCTAATAAATAAAGTGCTGAATCTGCCGGTGGTCACAGCTGACCAAAGTTCCCAGGTAACGTTCCAGTTTTAACCTCATGTTGGTAGAAACGGTGTGGAAAACACCTCCAGCTGCAGGTGAAGCTGCAGATCAGAGCAAGTTTCAGGTTCAACAGAGTCTTTTTTCTGAGGGAAGAGATGGAGACGGTTTCATCTGACAGAGTGACCATCAACAACCCAGCAGACATCACTGTCATCGTTGGATATTTCCTCATGGTTATTGGTGTTGGAGTTTGGGTGAGTGCCCCAAAAACACCACGTCTGCTCAGTGGGGTTTTAGTTCAAGATGTCTCTAAACTCAAATCAAATGTCTCTGTTCTCCACAGTCCATGTTTCGGACCAACCGTGGGACGGTGGGAGGATATTTCCTGGCAGGACGCTCCATGGCCTGGTGGGCAGTAAGTTCACTGTGAAAATAATTAAACTAAAAGACGAAGCTAAAGAAATGTACAACATGTAACAAACATCAGTTTACTTCTGTAAAGGCTGAATCTAATGTCCACAGTACGTTTGTCACCAGAAACGTTTGCTTTTTAAACAAAAACTGAGCAGATAAAACTAAAACAAGAAGAAAAGAACTGCAACGTGCTAAACAGTAGCTAAAAGTTAAATTTAGCAAAAACAAAAATAGAAAAACTAGCAAAACTGTAGCCAAAGAATAAAATCAGCTGAACTAAAACTAAAAGATTAAGCCAACATACAGTATATCTGAAGCCAAATGTAACAAAACTTTAGCTGAAAGCTGAAATGACTAAATCTGCACATGAGAGCTAACATTTATTAAGCTGCAGATAAAAGCTAAAATTATCAATTGTGGCTAAAAGTTTAATAAAAACAAAGCTAAATGTCGAAAGTAACAAAACCTTAGATGATAGCTAACATGGCCAAATCTGTATCTTAGAATAAAAAAAGTATATTAGGCTGTAAAAGCTAACTTTAACAAAAACAAAGCAAAAGTTAACATTAGAAATGTGTCTGAAAGCTTAAATTAGAAATAAACTGTAACTTAGAGCTAAAAAAAAAAACCAAAAGTAAAACCATAGCTGAAAATTGAAATTGGCTAAAAATGTACCTAAATGCACCATAACAAATATTGAAGCTAAATTCTAAATTTAGCTAAGGCATAAGCTAAAAGCTAAACATGGTTAAATGTATAAATCGTCTGAGAACCCAGATGAATGAAAATGTTAAAGGTTCTGGCAGTGGTTCGTTTGTGTTCCAGGAACCGTTAGTGGTAAACAATGAGCAATAACAGAAAGCCTTCTGCTTGGTCAAATAAACAATCATCAAAAATAACTGTTGCGCTTCAACACAACCTTTTGTGGCAACATCTTTAGACAATGTGATGACCAAATGGTGCATTCAAGTACATCCTGTAAATTCAATAATCCACACTGAAATATTAGCTACTTTTCATACGTCAGGGGTGTCAAACTCATTTTCACTGAGGGCCACATGAGCCTGATGGTGGCCCTCAAAGGGACAGTTGTAATAAACTTTAAAAATGCGTGTTTAATTTGAACTCAACAGGAAACGTCACCTTGTCTTGTCTTGTTTATAAAGCTGAGCACTGCTAACAAACAATAACTGAGCTCTACCTGGTATTTTGAGTGTTGGAACACATCCTCTGATAAACACTGAAAAGTACTACATGTACAACTGACTTAATGTGAAGTAAATAATGCAGAAACACTAATAAAAATATTATTTTTCATGGTTTTATCCACGGTTGAGATGTGGTGAGTAGATGTCATCTTGAATTTTGAGCTTTTCCACATTCTGACAGGAAATTTCCACTAATTAAATTTATGACTTATGGTCAATGCTGGCTTTAAAGTATCATATTCTTTGTTTTTGTGCAATAAGTGTATAATTGAGAATCTCCTGATTCACAGAAATTGCCATGGCAGCTATGCCTGCAAGCTTTGAGTTTGACATGTGATATATAAACAAAGAAAACTAAAGGTTAAATGTAGGTTTACCCTGACAGCTCTCAATAACATAAATGTAAAATACTAAATATTGTTTATAGTAAATAAGATCATTCTACATTCATGTCTGTGTTTCTGTCAACATTTAAAACGATGTAAAATATTCAGGTCACATTGGTATCATTAAACTACACTTCAGTCTGGTTTTATAGCTTCCAAAGCATGTATGTTTTTATTTTTGTCCATATTCACTGCCATATCTTTGAGTTATTACATCTCTGTAGCATGCCCGCACAAAGATGAAGCTTTACTGATGGGTTTTAATTAGCTTTATCTGTATATCCATTTATACATCATAATCACCATATCCACTGTAACCATCATAACCACTGTAAGAGCTGAAACACGTGTGACTGGTTAGCTAACATTGTTTACCTTAACTTACTACCTTAATTTTATGCAAAAACGAACCATTAACACACAAAAATACTCATAAATATATTAAATGCTTTAACTAAACAATTTTTTTGCCACTTCGGAGGGGCTGCCTGAATAAATGAAACTTGAAGCGATGCTTCTTGTCTCTTTTCTGTCCGTACTTTGGTTAACAAGTTTCTGTATTAAGAACTGCGCTAAACAGGAAGTTCACATTTCAAAATAAAAGCGCTTGGCGTAAGACAGGAAGTTGACTGTTTCAGCTCAAAATATTACAAAACAAAATATTGTTTCTTCTTCAACAAGGCTTGTGGATATTTACAATCTGATCTATGTGCTGATCCAAACAAAATACTGATATTTGGATAACTGGCCATAAACACATTTCACCACTGTTCAGTTCCACAGCTGGACCTGGTCTTTGTGTTTAGAATATAATCTTGTTCTGTGTTAAAGATCAATTTGATAAGGTGATGCTAACAAGCTAGCCTCATGGTTCGTGTTGGTCAGCTGCTTTGGACACAAACAACTAACAAAGTCCCGGCCCTCAGGCCTTCATGAGGACTTAGCATAAACGATTTAGGTCCCACCAGTTTTCACAATTATCCCACAAATGTTAACATTTACTAAGTGAAAACTGTCAATAGTTTCTGTCATTTTTTAGCTTGATTTCATTAGCTTGATTTGATTTTAGAACATTTGAAATTGTTTTTTTCTGTTATCATGGACGTAGAACACAAAATATCAGATTTTCATGATGTCATCAGGACGTCATGACGACCAAGATGCATTCTGAGCACAAAGTCAAAGAACTTCAGACATTTCTCTGCAAAACAGCAAACGAGAAGCCATCGTCGATAAAAGCAAACCTTTAAAAACGGATAAATTCTCCAAGAGCAAAGCTCCACGATCAGGTGAGTTAATAACAGCTCCACTCCGTCGAATAATTCTCTGTAGTGTAGGAAATTAGGATCACATCAGGCCAATACTTCTGTGTTTCTGTATTTTCAGTGAAAATGGACAGAGGGGATGGATTTCATGTCGAYRTGTTCAGTAAGAACGTTATTTTTTCTGATTTATAGCAGAAACTTCTCACATTGTCTAACTTTATAACAGATTTCTAAGTAGAACAGGTTCAGTTCTGATAACTAGACGTACTAATGAGACAAAACCTCTTTACATTTCACAACATATGTACAAAAACTATGCAGAGCTGTGCAAAAGACTTAAACCACCTTTAATTTCCTTCAACTTTGCTCCCAATGAGTCAAACTTTCTTCTGTTAGTCTTGTTACCTGGCCTCGACATGTTGTGTTGTTTCTTACAGGAAAATGATA